TGCAAAAACTTTTATCTCACTGAAGATACGCGAAAAAATGGTTAAGGAGTTTCAATAAGACATTGAAAAATTACTACACAGTTTACAAAAGTAAATATCATCATTTACGTGTGTATTTTGATCTGTTATTTAAGCTAATGTGTGGTTTTGAACCTTTTTTGCCAAAAACAACGATTTTTTACAGTTTCACATCTATTTTTCTTAGTACTATACGTACAGTGTATGTTATATTCTTATAATTTAGAGCATGCTTTTGTGCAAAAATCAAAAAAAAGCATACAAAACAGTATTCTATTCTAGAGTATTGCCACCAAAAATGCAACTTCGAAGCTCTATAAACTAGCAAGCAGAGGGTTCCTTGGAGAAAAAATGATATTTTCGTAAAAGTTACATCCTAATCTTTCATTTTAAAGTAAGAAATGAAGTATTTGCGATATGCGTATAGTCTTACCTCTTCAGTGGTGAGTTCTTTTTTATACCATCTGACCACGTGCATTATTGTATGTCCAGAAGAAGTTTGCTCAATATCTGCGTCCGTTTAAGGGGAAGGCATTGAGGAAAATCACCATCTGCACTCCTCCAGCTTTGTAGCTGTCTTCTAGCTGTTTTGAAGCCGATTTCGATGAGAAACCGCCCTTTTCTCTTTAGAAAAAACCCTTATGTGAACAGGTAAAATATCATTTTAGTTAACTCTTTTATAGATATTTATATATCAATTATTGTTAACTGAAATTCTTAGAGTGTAGGGTAGACTGGGTACGGTTGAAACGGTGGACGGTTGAAACAAAGCGAATATCTCGCGAGCCTTTCATGGTGGGGGACGAAAACAGAAGAAGATCGGAGCAGACGACAAGTCGAAACACGAATTTCAGTATTATTTTGCTCTTCGCGCGCTGTGCTTGTGTGTAGGGGACACCATTGTGTTTTTTGGCGGTAAAGTAAGTATTTTTGTTCGTACATTTTTGCAATTATTATCGTTTTGATTAAAGCTAAAGTATTGAGCATTTTGTATCGTTGCAATTGAAGTTTGTAGAATATGGTAGTATGATGAGTTTTTATTCAAATTTATTATCATTCCTATTGTGAGCCGTTTTATACCTAGAAGGGGGGATGGGGACAGTTGAAACATTTTTTGTGGGTACGGTTGAAACAGCTTATTTATTTGATTGTCTTGTTTTTTAGATGCCAAGGGTACGCCAAAGGAAGACTACGAGAGGCCAGGCTGACTTATCGACTTATAAACAAGCTTATGAAGATGTGAAAGCGGGATCTTCTTTAAGAACAGCGGCAGAAAAGAATGGGCTGAACCACTGTTCCCTGTTTAGATACGTACGTAAACGAGATGCGGCTGGTGGTGATGAAAATCAAGAAGTGGGATATAAGGCTCACAATCGAGTGTTTAACCAAGAACAAGAACGTGAGCTTTCTAATTATTTAACTAGATGTGCAGATATCTATTTTGGCCTAACTAAAAAGGATGTCAGGAAATTGGCATACGAACTAACAATCAAGTACGACTTATCACGACCTCGGACATGGGATGACAACGAAATGGCTGGCGACGAATGGTTTCGAATGTTTATGAGAAGAAATTCCGGACTTTCAGTACGTGTAGCACAGGCTACAAGTCTTTCTAGGGCGACTAGCTTTAATAGAAATAATGTAGATGCTTTTTACGACAATTTGAGTACTGTTATGGACCGTTATAAGTTTGAGCCACAAAATATATATAATGTTGATGAGACTGGCATCACTACTGTGCAAAAACCCGACAGAGTAATAGCTAGACGTGGTGCTCGCCAAGTAGGTTCAGTGACTTCAGGTGAGAGGGGTACTTTAGTCACAGTTGCCTTTGCAGTTAATGCCATCGGAAATGCTATTCCTCCATTCTTCGTCTTTCCGCGAGTGCGATATCAAGACCACTTTATCAGGGATGGACCAATAGGATCTGCTGGCAGTGCAAATCCTTCTGGCTGGATGCAGGATGAAACATTTATTCATTTCCTGGAACACTTCAAGAAACATACAAATGCTTCTTCTTCACATAAAGTCTTACTTGTACTTGATAACCACTCTTCACATATTCATATTAATGCTCTAGACTTTTGCAAGACGAATGGCATTGTGGTGCTATCGTTCCCTCCCCACTGCTCACATAAACTCCAACCGCTTGATAGATCTGTATTCGGTCCGCTGAAAAAAGCTATAAATTCGACCTGTGATGGATGGATGCGAAGTCATCCCGGCAAGACAATGTCAATATACGACATCCCAGGGATTTTAGGTATTGCTATGCCGCTTGCTCTTACACAATCCAACATTCAAGCTGGTTTTCGCACAACTGGGATTGTTCCATTTAATCGGCATTTGTTTAGTGAACTCGATTTTGCACCTGCATTTGTGACAGACAGACCAAATCCTCTAAATACGAATACAAATGAGGCAGCTGATGGCCATATTCAGAATACTTACACACCTGAGGATAAAACACCAACACCATCACCTTCTGAACTACCAGAAATGTCGGAGGAGCTTTCTAATACAGCTCTTTCTGTACAACAACTGACTGCAAATATGTCACAGTGTTCACAAGTCCCAGACAGACAACAGGAAAATATTACTGCAGATCCAGAACCTTTGATTACATTACCCGGACATCAAAGTACTGATATTGTTCAGCAAATTTCACCAAAACCCTCTACAAGTTCTCAATCCATTCCTGTCTTGTCAAATCAAACGAAAAATATCCCGTCTCCGAGTACAACACTTTTGTTTTCACCGGAAGCAGTACGACCACTACCAAAAGCTCCTCCAAGGAAATCAACAAACAGGGGGCGAAAAACCAGAAAATCCACAATATACACCGATACACCTGAGAAAGAAGAGATAAGAAGAGAACATGAAAACAGATTGAAACGAACCAAAGCTAAGCAAGTTAAGAAAAGATTAGATGGAGAGGAAAAGACGAAAGAAATGTTAGAAACAGAAAAAAAAATATCACGCAAGATGAATCATCAGAAGAAGAGGAATACTACTGTCTTGTTTGTGTGTCAGCATATTCAGAAAGCAGACCGAGGGAAAAGTGGATACAATGCACAGAATGTAAAATGTGGGCGCATGAAGAGTGCACAAAAGGTAGTCTTATTTATATTTGCCATAATTGTGATTCTGAATGATCTCATAACCACTTTAATATTTTTGTTTAAAATATGGATTTTTATAGAAATAATAAGTCTTTATTTTTTTCTTAAATAGGATTTTTCTTAAATAAGGATAAGTTTTTGTTTTAAACTGTTTATTTTTATTCTCTAACAAAAAGTATTGTTGTTTTGTCATTTGTTAATCTATTCATCGAAAAGTATATCTTTTGAAGTTTTACTGTTAGTCTGTAAGTATCGTCAAAGACTTGAATATTATTGAAAATATATTTTTGATGTTTAACTGTGCCATTACGAGTCGTAAAATATTATTAGATGATTAATAAAACATCCTTATTTACTATACTTCGTATTATTTGTATGTGTTTCAATTGACCCCAGGCACTGTTTCAACCGACCCTGGCATGGGGACGGTTGAAACAAATTACATTTGTTTTTTAATTTAATGTTACAGATAAAATACAAAACAGTGATCTCAAATATCATTGCCTATTAGTAAACAAATATATGGTCTTTTATTTATCATATTTCCGATATCGCTCGCTCAGCTAATCCCGATGCTATGGACAATAAACGCTAAAATGTTTCAACCGTACCCAGTCTACCCTACTTGATTTTGTTTAGCATTTATTGTAATATACAAATGTGAGACATTGCCGACATTGGCACCTTCTATTGAGCTTGAGCTTACGCCATTGCATTGATCATGATTTCAATTTTTGAGCTGTCATAACCTCTTTATAACAAGGGATAACTTTTTTAGCGAATATTACTTTTAATACATTTTCTATTTTTTTGCTTTTGCTTTACTCTTCTTGCGACAATGTATATGGGTTTTTAAGTTCGAGTGTTTCAATTAGTAGTTTTGTCTCACAAAGAGAATACAGAGTGGATTTTTAAGCAGTCTTTCTTTCTCCAGAGTTTGTTTTTCGCAGTACATTTTGAGTGAGACGCAAGCAGATCATATTTTGTGAAGTTTCTTTCGACCTTGTCCACTACTGCCCTCTGGTTTTGACCAAGATGCCTGAGCTTCTGTGAGCTGAGGTCATCTCCGCTGCATCTATAACTCTACCATCCAGATAAGTTTAGGCTTAGGCGCTATAGTAGTTGCAAGACCTTCGATCGTATCCCATGGTAGTAGTTTTGCGAGGTCTAGTTATTTTCTTGCTGCCATTTTAAATAATATCTTTTTTATTTACATTGGAGTAGTGAACGCTATTTTTTAAATATCTCGTTTCTATTTGGCTCTCTGTAGAAATAATTAGTTTCCGTCATTACGATTAGATTATGTTCTTTTGTGTGGGTGGTCAAGCAAAACAAGTTCCGACTAACATCTCGGGGATTTATGCCTTTATTCGTCATGAGTCACTGACGCTCTTAACCCCCTCTACTTTCCGCTTTATTAAGTTAGGCCCTAAATTGGCACGCCACAAGGCAGCTGTTTTGCACTGACTCACCATTTGATTTCATTCATCGTGTTTTATCAACTTATTAATTAATTAGAAAAAAAGGAAGGAGGAAACACACCACCATTTCTTTTTATTTATAAACAAGGCGTGGCACAAGTCTATACGATGTTGAGGAGTCGCCAGATAGCACGAAACAGCTGTCCATGTTGGCCGTGTGTTACTTTGTTGCTGAGTCCACGCCTGGCTCCCGCTGACCACGGATGTCATTACGTGATCGCGGTCGAGCAAGTAAACATCCATGTCGATTTATCAAAGACGAACAATGCCCGTTTGACTGTTTGCGACGCCCTTAATAATCTTAATGATCGCGGATAAAATCTCCATATAATTTTATCCTGCGCATCCTCGAACCTGCCCTCGGCAGAGCCCGGCTTCAGCAGCGCACAGGTCTTCCGCTTGCATCTCCAAATATGGAACCGTCACTTCCACTGGCTGGAATTTGGTGGAATCTGATGGAACACTCTCAAAACGGTAGGCAAATAGGTACTTGTAAATTGACTTGCGTGATTTGGTTGATTATACTGAAGTTGAATTTGAGTTTATAAAATTTGACACAGCGTTCCTACGTTCGTACCTTCCAGTTCTACAGGGTGCGGCAGAGAGGACGGACGTTTTTGGGATGGGTAGTACTCTCCGCCTCCGTCTACGAGAGAGGTGGGGAGGGTGCCGTTTGACTCGTGAGATCCTAGCATTATTTTACCAGTTGTCGTTATGGACCCTTGGACGGTGGAGCACCGCATTTTCGTCTATGATTGTTTCGTCCGAAATAATGAGTCAGTCGTCGTCGTACAGCGTGAGTTTCGTCGCCACTTCAACATTCATCGGAATAGAGCTGTTCCCTCTCGAAACACCATCCTTCGTTGGGTTGAATCATTTCGCAGGCGTGGTGAACTGATCAACAGAAGACCAAGAGGAGCGCCGCGAACAGTTCGAACTCCTGAACATGTTGAACGCGTTCGACAGATCTTTCTTCGCAGTCCGACTCGATCTGCCCGGAAACATGCTGCTGCACTTCTCCTTAGTGATCGTTCGGTAAGGCGAATTTTGCATATGGATCTCCGCTTTCACCCCTACAAATTGGCCATTGTGCAACAGTTACGAAAGCGAACTTCCAGGAACGCCTCCAGCACTGCATCAACGATTTCGGCCACCACATGCCTGATGTGATTTTCCACACTTGACTGTCTCAAATGCTATTTCCTTGTGAACCTGATTCCATCAATAAATTTGTTTTCGAGTAAAAATTAACTATTTTATGATTTTTTTAAAACCGTCCATCCTCTCTGCCGCACCCTGTATATCTACAGAAAACGACTTCTGACTTCAAGAAGTATCACTGAGTCACTGGCCCCTTTCTGAACCACATCAAGTATGAACAATGTAGTCGGGGAGGCAGCTTACTCGATATGAGGGCAGTACACTAATCCAAGCTTTATAGTCAGTGCAATATTTTCGCATCTGAAGGCAAAACATTCTGATTCGGATTTTGTGCATAATCTTATTCAAAGAGGATCCATTTTTAACGAATCTGCATGTTGCCAGGACCAAATTTGCCTAAAAATTCAAAAAATTATTTTTCATCCTCCGGTCTAAGTGCATTTGGTTTTTTTGGGACATTCTAAAAAAAGAAAGTTTAGAAGTTGATAGTTTTTGATATACAGGGTGTCCCGAAAAAAGTATGCAATATTCTATCAGCGGTTTCTAGAGCTTAAAATAGGTAGAAAAGTTTATATAAACACAGGTCGACAAACATCTCCTAAGGGCGCTATGGTCTTTTAAAGGGGCTCCCCTGAAGATGGTCTTTCCTTACTATTTCCGAAACGTGTTAAGATAAAGACATAAATTTTGGTATTCTAGCCTAGTTTTTTATGCTGGATTCAAATATATTAACAATTTTAGACAGTTTTGTTTGGAAGCGTATATAACAGGGACGGACTCAGGTTATTTTAGCCGCAAAATTTTTGTGTGATTCTATTTTTGAAATTCAATTTTAGAATTTGAAAATTTAGGGTTTTCTACATAAAAAAGATACTCCTATTGAATATCTATAAATTATGCCATTTTTGAATAAAATCAAACTAAACAATTTGTCACATGATAGGGAATGTACTGCGAATTTAAATGAATTGTTGAATAATTCGCCATGGCAACGAAAAAACTAATTTATTAATTGGTAAATATTACATAAATACATATTTCTATTGCAACACAGCTAACATTTAGGCAAAAACAAAAGAAATAATTTTTTTCTACGAACGAAATTGAAATTTGTTTAAAAAGAAGACATACAGTTGGATATACTTAAAACTAGCTTTACAATAAGTGTTCAAATAAATTTCCATTTTATTGGATATATAGTCTCGCTCGACGAACTAATGATTGCGTAGCCCGAAAAGTGGAAAACATTTTTCTTCTTATTTCATTTCCAGCCTGATGGATTCTTTGAAGTAAATCTTCTTGAGTATTTACTTCCGTCGAGTAAACTAGCTCTTTTAATTACCCCCAAAGATAGAAATCCAATGGATTTAGGTCAGGTGACCGTGGCGGCCACGCTATAGGACATCCTTGGCCTAACCACCTGTCTGGAAAATTGACATTCAACCAGTTTCGAACGTTGCGTCCAAAATGTGCAGGGGCGTCATCATGTTGAAAACACATATTTTCTTTAAACTGCTGGCGTACATCCAATGGTATTATATCCATGAGCTCATTCTGAAGAAAGTTCAGATACACCTCTGAATTAAGACGATTGGGAAGTACAATAGGCCCAGTTAGTTAATCCCCAATTTCTCCTGCCCATAAGTTCAATGAAAATCTATGTTGGAAATTTGTACGGCGAACAACCTTTGGATTTTCATCTGACCAGTGATGCATGTTATGGAAATTAAAAGCACCATTCCTAGTAAATATTGACTCATCCGACCATAAGATTCTAGAAATACTGTTTTCTGTTTTCATTTGCTAATATTCACTGGCAAAACTCGATTCGTGGTAAAAAATCTGCCTCCGTTTCATGATGCACCTGTTTAAAATGATAAGGATGTATTTTTAGGATAACTATCAAATAGATATTCATAAATTTTTCTTATTATTGATCGAGGTATATCCATAATTTCTGAAACATTTCGTATGCTTCTTTGCGGATTATTTTCAAACATATTTAAAGCGATATCCATACGATGATTTCACAGTGGCCTTCCTGAGCCCTGCATGCGCGGAAAACTTCCATGGTTTGACAAATTCCGGTGAATATCAGTAAACATTCGACGTCCAGGTACTATGCGATTGGGAAATCTCCTTTGATATTCTCTTACGGCTGCCAATGAACTGCCATTGCAAAACCCGTACACAAAATGCATGTCAGTTAGTTCTGTCTGTAAATCTTGGCATTTTAAATCGATTTAATAAAAATTTTGATTTTAATCTAGTAATTTTACACTGCTAACAATGTCAGTTTAACGTCAAAATAAGTCATAACAGATCAAAACAACTTTTGTTTGCAGTCATGGCTAACTATGTATAATCAACAATTCATTTAAATTTATCGATATTCAATAAGAGTACCTTTTTATGTAGAAAACCCTAAATTTTCAAATTCTAAAATTGAATTTCAAAAATAGAATCACACAAAAATTTTGGGGCTAAAATAACCCTGTTACATACGCTTCCAATCAAGACTGTCTAAAATTGATATTACTTTTTAATCCAGCATAAAAAACTAGGTTATAATACCAAATTTTATGTCTTTATCTCAACACGTTTCGGAAATATTAAGGAAAAACCATCTTCAGGGAAGCCCCTTTAAAAGACCGTAGCGCCCTTAGGGGACGTTTGTCCACCGATACACTTTTTTCGGGACACCCTGTATAAGCGCTGCAATATTTGAAGATATATGAGGAATATGCCATGTTCGACTCAAAAAAGCAATATAAAAAGTTGGAAATTTCAATGTTGCCTATCTTCCTGAAAATTTTTCAAACATCCATTCACAAAATCTAGGATCAGGACGTATTGTTATTGCAATCCTTTGTCTTTAAATTCTTAATCCAGCGTTTCATACCCATCATGAGAGACCTATCCGATTGTAATTCTGCGATCTTTTATAACCGTTATCTTTGACGTTTTCAACGCTTCCATCAGTTGTTGATGTGTTGCCGCATCCGGGGTTTTCGTTATCTTCAACGCCTTCACGGTCATTTTGGAAACGCTTATACCACTCGTAGACTCTTGTTTTACGCATAGCAAACCCACCATAGGGCTTTGTTAACATTTCATACTTCGCTACGCTTAATTTCACTTTTTTACGCAAAATTTGATACAAATTCTTTGAACCATTTCTTCTAACAAATGAAAATCGCCGAGCTCATAAAAACACGTCTAACCTTAGAGGCTACTACAGACAAAGTAAACAATGAATACAGCTGAACATGTTATCGTACTTCAGGGGCATATAACATAATAAAAAAATGATAATCGGACTCTCCAGACCCGAAAAATAAAGATACCCGTCCTCGTACATGTGTTCTGCAAATGCAAACACATGCCTTCCTTATTCCAGATAATGTATCTTAACTGCATCCTATACGTTATCCTTCTGAGTGACCTGCTTCTTCAGTGTAGTGTGGGTGAAACTAAGCACGTAACGTGCCTGAAGCAACACCAAAAATGTACAACAGAGCAATTATGCTGGCAAATTCTTCATTTTTATCTGCTCACATCACCCGTGCCTCCATTAAGTTTCCTCGATAAAAATGTAATTGGAAATTAATTGATTTATAATTATTAAACAAATATGGACTCGGCTCTCGCTGTTGATATACATCTTAAAAGTTTTTGCGTGTATTCCAAGAAAGGATCATTAATTAATAAAAATTAACAATGTTAATTTTAGTTGAGAGTTAATGGTTATCGGTTATCTCTCGAAAGTTGGTGTAGGCGATAGATATTTCAGTAATGGAATAGATAATTAATATTGTTCAAGATAATGCATTGAAAAGGAATAAAAATATACATATGGAAAGTGTGTTTTTGAAATAGTTCAGTCGCCATAACAATTTATAAACGCCAAAAGTATGTGTTTTGGAGCTCGCAAGTAATTAATTTGGCTGCATTGATCAAAAATACATACGGAATTTACAATATAATACAAAATAACACATCTATTGATGGAACATATAACATTGGATCCATCTTCAATAGTAAAAATGCTCAAATCTTCCTGGAATGAAAAGCGACTAAATAAATTACTGCAGGACCAAAAGATACATTTTGATGATGAAACTCTTAAACTCGAGCTTTTAAATCTATGTCGACTTAATAAACATCAAGCTTGTAACTTCCATATCTATCAAAATATTCAACAATCTATATTAAGATGCACACATAGAAAATTAAGAACTATAAATGAACCTGAACCTTCTCCCAAGTGAATTATATTAATATTCTCCCTATTAAACCCTTGATGCTTGCCCCAGTCATTTTTAATCAAGTCCTCGGTATGTTTCATACACTTGGCCCAAACTGTAGGAGTCATCTTCGCTAGAGCAACGTCTTAAACATTCAAAACTTCCTTGTCACCAAAGCTATTTTCCCCAATACGATGATCAGAATACATAGTATTTCCCAGACTAACTCAATAGGGTTGTATTGACACTAGTAAGGGGAAGTCGCAAAACTTAATAATAATAATAAACGTCTTTATTCGCCTAACATCAACCAATAAACATACATTTGTATAAAAAAAAGAGTTTGTCTATGAAATATCTTGGAGCCGATGATTTATTAAAGCGACGTAGATTAAAAAGCTCGAGTTTAAAATCATCATCAAAATGTATCTTTTTGTGTCCCAGCCAGGGCTTCAATTGCATTTTACTCGAACTGGAATTGGGCATTTTTGCTGTTAAGGCACTATGATGAGAGGCATTATCCATGATTACTAAAGATGGCTCTTGTAACGCTGGTATCAGCTTATCACATACCAATTTTTTGAAAAAATCTTTGACACTCGAATCTTGGTAGTCGGCACTTTTTTTATTTTGTAGCAAATAACAATGCACTATGTCTCAAAAGACCGTTTTTGGTCCCAGCATGGAGAACAACATCCCGCATGCTGGTACCCTGATGGCCGCTTTTCAAACTCTTTACGATTTTATCTTACCAAACTCGTTTAAACGACCCTTTGGCAAATATCCACGTTTCATCTAAAAAAACGCATTGGAGAGGGCTTGTGCTATTTAGGTTATTCATATATTGTATCATAAAATACGGTTATCTCTGTCTTGTAGGAAAAACCGCACGCTTAGACGCCTTAAACTTGAATCCGAGGCGTTGTACATGTACCTTTTTACAAGATCTTGATTGAGCACAGAGGTCATGTTGTCCTTTACTTCTCATATCGTAGAAAGCATTCCTATTTTCTGTTTTTACGGCAACACTTGCATCATCGGTTTTGCATTTTCTGATTTTGTGTGTTTTTCCCCAGATGTTACTATGGGCAAACCTTTCTTATTTTCTGATTTTATTAGCTGAACACTGCGCAGACTAATCTCCAGCGTATCTGCTACTCTCTACAGTACGCATGAAGTAGGTAACAGTGGACCGTTGTTTCCATTCTCTTCCTGGAGATACTCTAATAAATTTAGCACGCGCTGTCGGCCTTCTCCATTGATCGTATTTCCGGGCATTGTACAATTTTATATTGGAGACTGATAAGAGGACAACTCAAATTGCACGCCGATGTCAAATAAGTTGTAACTCTGACAAATATGATTGAAGGGCACTCATAAGTGACGACATAGTTTTCGAGACGGAGACATACAACTAAAAACGTATGTGTTTGAGCGTACCGAACAAAAGTTCACACACAGGGGTAGGTTGCATGTGTATGTATGAGGGAGATTGATATATAACATATAAAGGGATACTGGTAGTCTTACTTTGACCCGCCAAGAACGGTAAGTACAACTATATACATATAATGACACTTTTCCAGTTGTACCGAGAGGAACCCCGCGCATATAAGACGTTGTTTCATCATCATCAAGAATCATCAGCAAGGTATACGATGAACCAAAGCATTGATGTTATCAACATATTGGAGCATTCGTATTGGTGGTACTGTAGATGACAAAGAGAATTTCACTCTGTCACTGGTCAAATCTGGTCCCTACTAAGAAAATCATATTGTTTGTATTAAGACAACTTAGTTACTGTACTATTAGCTTATAATGACCTACACATTTCATTTGAGACGATACAGAAGCTGTTCAAGTACATTTGTGGCTTGAGGTGAATCCGACTTCTGCAGGATGATAAATGATCTTATGCTAAGTAATTAATGGGCATATTTTCATAAAACTGTTAATTATATAGGTATGCTTTTAAAGCATTCAGACAACGAGGCCTTATCATATCCATATGCAAGGCGTGTCCTGGAAAGTGACTACAACGATATGAGAGTACCGAATGGAGACGATTAAATGGTTTGTGCTGGTTTGATAGCTTGTGGAATGCGTTGATTGTCGTTCAGATCCGTCTCGATACTATATCCCACGTGATAGGAAAATAATTTCTTAGCAAACAAGTGGATCACAGATGTTGAAAAACTACTGTACTGACGTTTTCACATTTTCTTTTCGATTATAAACTTAATCAAATGTCATTGCACATTTGATCTTTTCAGAACTTTATACTGTAGAAACCCAGTAGCTTCTACAAGAGGATCCACCTTCATATAGATAATTCTGAGTCCTCGTGAATTATCGCTTACGCAAGAGAAGGAATAGGGTAGGAAAAATTCCAATGGCCTCTATTGATCTATTTGGAGTAGCAGTTCCTCAGATGACAAAAATGATGATGATGGTTTACTTGTATTTCTTGGGTCTTGTTTGATCCAGTGAACCATTTTATTTTCTCAAATCTAATATCGGAAGCACCTCCATCATAATATGGTCAACCAAACCAACCTATTCAGAGTAGTTATAGCAAATAAAAAAACCAAT